ATGTCTGAATATTTGAACAGGCTCTGACATAATGAGCACTGCAAAGATAGTACACAAGCTGAAATGAAGACAGACAAAAGTATTTTTTATATAAAAATGGTCTTTATTTCTTCAATACAAGGTAAACTACTATTGCAGTTTAAGACCAACACAAAGTTGGACAGCAAATTGCTTAACAGTCCCCTAAAGGCTGAAAAAAAGAAACCCATGAAAGCTAAAAGTTATGCAATATTTCAAGTAAAACATCTAAAAAAGATTAAATGATCCCTAAACTTAAGTACCTATGCTGAAAATGTATTAAAAACCGCATTTCCTAGGATACCATCTTACCTTGTTGAGAAACACAGGTCTCCAGAAACTCAAGTATTCAACAGACTCTTGGGCCTGCCGGGATCAGGAAACTGTTCACTATATAAAAAATCCTTTGGAGTCAGGCATTCTGACAGACATCCATTTCCTTATATTTTGCATTGCAGTTCTGTACTCCAACTTAGACAAACCCCCCTCCTGTATTTCAAAACCATTTATTGAATAGTTTACTCATATGTCCTTGTGCAAAATGGGAATCAGGAAATGGAATGGTAGAGGAAGACAATACAGCCTTTTGTTTAGAAAGTCAGCAGTGCTGGTAATAGTAATAAAAATGTTATAGTTTACCAAATAGGAATGCACTTCACCCTTAGAACACTTGGGGTTTTTCCCCCCCTTTTTTTTTTGTATTTTAAAAAAGGATATCTGCAGTAGCAAGGAAACTGAATTTGCAATCACTTGTATTTATAAAAGCACACACATTCCTCATTTTCTTACATTTGAGCATCAAGGGAATGTCTGTTTCATAATGTAGTAATAATATGCACAGATTAAAATATTTTCTATTACAAAATACAGTATACAAGAAGGTGAGGCCAAAGTCTATTACTTCAATGTACTCCAAAGTGTCACCACCAAATCATGTAAAATCACATTACATGGTATGAATAGATGGGAATTTTTACAACTTAAATACTCCATTTCATTGCAACCAAAGGTATACTGTTCACCATTTTCAAGAGACTTCAGTAAAACTAGTGTATTTCCAAAGATGCTTTAAAAGATCTGAGCACAGACAGACATAGATCATAACAGAACCTAAAACCAGCTGCAATAACTGCGGCTATAGAAAGGATTCAAAACCTAAGAAATGCATAATATACAAATAGAATGAGATTCTTTATCATATTTTGTCCAACATGGGAAAAGAAAAAATCCCACAAGAGTATCAAACTGAGGTACTTCTACACTCCAAACTGCTCCTTAATAATTCATCCTCTGAAGCTAAAATAATCTAAAAGTACATAGCACATCAGGGGGTGTGGTGGGGGGGCCGACAACAACAAAATGGAAAACCCACCTCGGCACTCTCACCCACCCCAAGCCTGCCTGCGATACCTCAAGCCTGTCTGCAATATTAATTGCAAGGCATCATAGTAAACAGTTGCAAGAGACAATATTTCTGCATAAATATAATGACTAATTAGCATGCTGCAACCATTATGTTTAAGACTTATGCAATCAATTACCAAAATAATTTAAATCCTAAACAAATCCATGTTGCTTCTTTCCTGTGTCAAAATACTTATTTTCAGAAAGAATTCAGTCTTCTTTAAGTGTATGCACACTGACCTGCACTTTCCTTCTCTAAGATCTTGAAGAGCTTATATTTCAGTGCAGAAGCTATTTAGTGTCTTGGATCTCTGGAGAGTACCAGTCTTAAACATGCATGTTTTATAGTTGAACCTATATGACTAACACTATCTTAATGAGCAGTATGTTAGGAAATTTAAGGCTGTATCTCAGTTTACACAAGAACCAATTATAACTTTAAGAGGCTACATATAAAATTCTATAAATAAAAATAGGAGCAAAGTCTGTTTAACCTGTACACAGAGAGGAAGTGGACAAGAAAAGGAAATCAGGAATTAAGTATTCTATAAAGAATGCCATGTATTTTTACTAGAAATACAGATGACAAGTATATACAACATTTAAATCTCCAATTATCCACATACAACTAGGAAAACATTTACAGGAAATTGGGTATGCAACTAAACAATCAGGTAAAAAAATCAGTTAGAAAAATTAAGCCTCATTTTATAGGAAAAAAAATAGAAAACACTCCTTAACAAAAAAAGGTCAAGCTAATGCCTAAATAAGGTATCTTGTTTAACACAAAAATAACATCTATCCAAGCTTATAAGCCACACTGTAAATAAAAATTTGAAGTTCTGACAAACGTTTTTCAAAATGAAACCAGAACTGAAGTTATTGGCACAGAAAGCGAAAAGGGAATGAGGAAAAAGACTGTACAGTTTTCAAAATGCTATGTTCTTCGTCTGAAGAAGTATTTGACCTGTCAGTAGAAAATTTTATTTTAAAAAGAACCTCTACTTCTTAAAAAACGAACCTCCAATAAAACAACTTCTGTTGCTAAAGCACCACCACCCCTGAAGTTCCTACTTGTTGGTTTTGTCTTTCAAGATAAAGAACACAGCTGCAAGATACTATTTTCAATGTTACTTATAAAATCAATATTTAAAAGAAATAAAGAATTTTCTCACAGACTATTTTGTCCTTTCATCAGCAAAAGGAGATGAAATGCAATTGGATGATTATCATGGCTACAGCAGTAGCCACCATGGCATCATCATCAGTCAGTAAATTACCAAATGGCTATTTCCTGAGCGTGCACAGGAAATTGCCAGTAATGCTTAATAAACCAAAATCAGGTAAAAATTCCACTACAGATCCAGTTATACATGATGTGCATTAGACATATTTCTTTTTGGTGTCTATCAGGGTCTTTGGATTTTTTCTGTACATTTTTTGTTTCATTTTTTAAAAAAAATCTAACAAATGAAACTCACAGTAACAAGAGAGCATTATCTAAATTGCAACAGTGCATCTATCAGGTAAAACTAGGTATTTGGAGAACAAGCAGAAATAAAGGGCTTCATACAGGGACCTCGTCTCTCAAATCACAATGACCATTCAGTTTAACTTATGTTACTTTCCCCCAGTATTCCCTCCCTGCTATTTCCATTGCCAGCAATGGAAATCCATATGTGAGTGAGAAACTATACTCAGTGTAAAAAGAGCAACAGTCTCCTTAAATCTATTTCAATGTGGAGTAAAATACCAGTTCCTGCATAAAATACTTGTAAATGTACTTTTAAGATTTAATTTATCTATGCAATGGAACATTACTTACCTGCCGCCTCTCCAGTATTAGCTATTCCCCATATAACAGCTACAGGCAGGTTATTTCTTCCTTAAACTTATTACACACAGCAGTAAACAATGTTTTTAAGTAAAGAAAAAAAATTACAACAGTACTGTTCTGTTTGTAACCAACACCTATTCACAAAAAGCAGGAAATGAGTCATGACTTGTTTGATACAACTTTCAGTTTTACAAAATTTTAAAAGGCAGTTTTCACTTGCAAACAGGATTAAACAAACATGTCAAATATCTTCTCAGTAGCAAACAGTTCAATAAACACCAGTGATCCCATGCATGAGGAACTGAGGTACACAAGTTAAGGAGAAAAAAAAGAGGGAGAGTCTGAAGCTGTGGCCAAGTCCAACCTGACTACAGAAACCTGCTGAGTGGTAGGTGACAAAAACATTAGAGCATTTCAGACTTATGCAAAAGTTTTGCAGTTGGCACAGGCTACTGGTCCCAACTCAGTAAAGCATAAAAATCACTCATGTATGCAGATAAGGTATTTATGCAGATAAGGTATTTAAAGCCTGTGTTTACATTCCTTGAAATCTGTGGAATACAAGCACATGCTTTAAATGCTCTGGAAAACCAAATGGATTTAAGTGCTTTCCTGAATAGGGCAGCATTTTAGGTTGGCTGTTAAAATCTTCAAAATCGGTAAAAAAAAGGAAATCAAGAGTTGTCTAAGAGTTGCTTCTTAAAGCCATCTGAGGTCTTGAAACTTAACTTAAAACATTAAGGGCAGCTATTTCAACAAGTGAAAAACTCCAAGGATAAATCTGTTACGCAACAGTGTGCAGTGAGCCTTTTTGTAAGGCTGCCAGAAACGAAGATTCATGCAACTTCATATGAACTTCCTATTCACTTGCATTTCAGACTTAATGAATTTAAAACAAATTCTTACAATTTGAAGACAACTTTCACTGTGAGCTCCAATAATTTGTTTTTAGGTAAATTTACAAAACCTCATCTGACAGATTTAATTAGTGCCACTTTTTGCTAAGACATTTAAATATTGTCCATCACTGAACAAGGACATACAAGTGTACCTTCTCTTTTATATGCATGTGTGAATAAACCCCAAAGTATTAAGATAATACCAAACCCATCAAGTATGAAAAATGGGAACATCTGGTTTCTTCTGGCACATTTCTAATTACAACTATGTACAGACTGCTACGGCCTTGGAGGTGGAAGGGGAAGACACACAAGCACTATTACTATAAAACTGTAAACAACTGCAGGGTTCTGATTTTTCAAGCTAACCTTTCCACCCCTTATTATGGACAGTTTAAGTTCATATGAACGGTTTAAATTAACTATAGTGTCAATCAGGATCAAGGCTATGAGAGAGATAAAATTTTCACTGTGCTAAAATCACAGACCTGGGACCATCTCTCCTCAAAACAATAGACCACAAGGAGCTGCAGTTGTTACAGTTTTATATGTCACTTGGGCAAATTCACAAGCCACCTAGGTAAACACTGCTAGAAAGCAAAATAGCACTAAAGGTTTTATGTAACCACCCATTTTCATATCAAAATTGAATGTGTGAGAGCAACATTAGTATGTTTAACTCACTGAATGCAGGATTAGGTTGAGGCATATGCAAGAACTATTGCGATGTTTTTAAAGACAGCATCAGTGTTTTCATTGTAACATTATCTTTAAATATTGCTGAACACAAGACTTTCCCTGAGGTGTAAACATCAAATAACTTGAACAGCTTTACACATCAGCCCCATTAAACAGTTTATTACAACACTACATCTACCGTAATCAAAGTGGTGCTGTGTACAGACATTATCATATGAACAGTTTAACATGAACAAACTACTATAAAAACAAGCATTTACTTGACTTTTTCCAATTGCTTGCACATTATAATTGCCAAATGTATATAACCAGTAATAAAGTTGCAAAAGCTATAAGGTTTAAATCACACAGGTTTCCCTCAAATAAAACAGTTAAGCAACATAAAAAAGTAAAAGAGCTACTGGTTACCATGTATGCAGATTTGCTTTATTCAGATCTATTCCTGTTCATTTTATCCGTGAATCCTTACAGGCTCAGTTCAATCACATGAAGCAAACTGCTGGACAAGCATCTTTCCTTGAAGAATGTATCTTGTCTTGCACGCTGTTCCTCTTCCTTCAGCTGTAATGTGTCAAAATTTGTGATGTAGATTTTGCTAGTCCCCATAATACACAGAAAATTGTTGGCTTATCTATACATACACAAGTCGTGCATCTACTTCACCATAATGTAAACTAACACAAAATACCCAGAAGCAGTAGCTACTTTGTGCATGAAATTGTTTTCTAATACAATAGTTAAAAATAAAATTAATGTTGTACAACAAAGTTGAAAGAATATAAATTTCACAGTTGAAATACTGAATGATAAAGGAAGAAATAGCTACTGTTCCTGTGACTGATGGAAACGTTTATCTAGAACATTTCCTAAAGGAAAATTCTGCAGGAGTAAACAAACAAGCATGTAAGGTAATTTTGCCACAACTAAATTTTTACATTTTTACCTGCGCACTTACAGAAGTTTTAAGCTGGTTTGACATTTAAGTAACACACTGATGGCTCAGTAACGAAGTGGATGGCTCACAGCTCAGTAACATTGAAAAGCACACAGAATCTGATACCAGTACTTCAAAATTTTCAGACTAGTGGGAAGCAGGATGGGCTTCACACATCTAAAAATACACGCTTGCAGTTTAATCACAAGAACTTACTTTTCAAATAATACAACATAGGTTTGCAGGTTTCCTGACCTACTTGCCCTAGAAAAAAACCCAAGCCCTACTTTCTACTCTCATCTATTTTGGCAAATTAAGGAACCACACCAGAGTTAATTAAGAGTTCACAAAATGCTTGGGATGGTATAATTCCATACACTGGATTTCAGTTGAATTATATTACAAAACAATTAGCTATTTCATTTCATTAATAATTCACAATTTCAACACTCAATTTCAAAATAGTTGAAATCAAATTGTTCAAAACCCAACACATTAAATTGTTCATTTGAAAAACAAGACATTTAGAGGAGCAATTTCATGAATGTGCACCAGTACACAGCTGCCAAATATTCTTCTACCAGTATAATAATTTCAAAGCAGTTGGGAAAACAAAGTACCCAATTTTTGCATGAACAATCGACACATTTCTTCTTCCTTTCCTCAAAGTGACTGTTAATAGTAACTTTAAAATAAAGTGTATAAACAAGTAGGCTCTATGCAATACAGTATGCAAATAAACTAATCTAAATCCAAAGCAGTGACTGAATTTTTCTTATTCACAGACTTTGTTCCCAAGTCATTAATTTATCAACCAGTAACTACTTTTGGGGAAGCTCCTTTCCCAGAGACCAAACTTTCTACGTGTTACATACTTTTAAAATTTATTAGTAGCAAAGTCACAAAGTGCTGCCTCTGCAAGAAGATGTGTTCAGAGTTGCGAGCTCAGGTAGCACAAAAAGACAGGAAAGAATCTGTTTTGTAGTGGAGAAAGTAAGTATATGACAGCTGTGACACTGCACGTCAGAATTTGCTGCTCTCATCATACAATTGTTGTGGCAAGAATTATGGATCTTTATCACTTCTATGGAGTCAGCTAACAGATCCAAAGCACCATATATATGATTTATAATACTAGCATAAGAAAGCTTCTGTTCCTGGGAATAATTTGCTAGACTTGTAATGGTACTCATGAAACTATGAGAACTTTAAAGAATGCATGATAAACCAGATTTAGGATTAACGCTTTTCAATATAGGGCTCTTAAGACGGTCAGCACCACACTGAACCTTCACTTTGAAAAATAAGACCAACTAAAATCCAAAGGGGTGCACATTTTGGTTCCAAGTATTCTGCCACTGCATCTTGGCAAAACTGGAAACCTCTGTGGTTCCAAAAGGAAAAAATAAATCTGTATGGATTATACCCTCATGCTCAGCCCTTTTCAGTATTCTACAAACACGCAGAATATTGAAGAAAGAAACAGCTTTATAAAAATCTCTAGTCAGTACTTCTTGGCAATGCTGTTTTCCATCTGCCTCAAGCTCATATAAGCTATCTGTCCCAAGCATATGTTAGGTTTATACAATTTATCACCATACAGCAATCAGTTTCTCAGCAGTTCTGCTAATAAACCTCAAATTTCAGACTTATCTGTTAAATAGTTATTTTGTGGTTTAAAAATTACGGTTTTATGCCAGAACATTTCACAAATTAAATCCCAGAACTTAAGTCATCAAATATTTTTGTATTCATGCAAGATGCAACTGGAGCAGAGCTTTCCCAAAGACAGACTCTTACAACAAAACCCAATAGACTTCTTACATATATAAAGCATCTTGCAGTAGCAACTGTAATTTTTTCCTTTAATTCCAATTATCCAAATAAGCAGATAAAAGCTTTAAACAGCTTTTAGAAGTGTGAAAGCTCTACAGTAGTTTAAAGCTGTATGTGCATACAACCGTCAATTTTATAGTAGTAATTTCTGGTGTTTTCAGAGATTGAAATTCAATCTCCCAACATGTTCACATTTCAGTAAAATGCAGGATACACATTTGTCATTAAATTCTAATAGCTCCTAAGAATTATTTTATGTAATTCTTCTTTATTTTATTCTATACATAAGGGAAAAAAAATACACAGAGAAAAAATCCCACAGAAAGTATGAACTTGAAAGCCAAAATCTCTTTTAACTTAGCCTACATTCCAGGACAAAACAAACCTCCAAATACTGTGATGCTTTAGCTGTAACACAGTGGGAAAGAAGGAATTTCAAGCTTGACTCTGTGTCTTTCTGCATGTAAGCTGAGATACATATGTGATTCTGTTCATCACGCATGTATAAACAGACTGTTTTACCACCACTAGCACTTTCTTCCATTTGTTGTATATTTTTTTCCCCTATTATTAGTGTACTTACCTGGTATCTTTATTCAATCAGTGTATAATTTAAGATCAACACCAGACAATTTCCTGATTTTATAAGTAATTTTACACGAGAAGAAAAAGAATGCTCCCAAACTAGTTTCATTCATCATATGTCTTTCTCCTACTATCCCAGCCTGTCTATCCACCAAAAATAACTGATGAGCAGAGAGGTGCGTTCAGGAAACTCAACCTTTAGTTTACAAATTAAGACAATGTGAATTATTGGCAAGTATCTGTCACATTAATATATGAGGAAGACACAAAAAGGTAGATCAGTCTGTCACAAGAAAACATAAAAATGAAGTTCTCTCATTTACCTCCTTTTCTTTTTTTTTTTTTTTTGGTAAAGAAATCTTAGTTCTCAAACCACAATGAGCAAAAGAAAAAAAAAAAAAAACAAACCTAATTTGTTCATTCTTTGGAGAACACTGCATCAACCCAACTTTTTCACTTGCAAGTAACTTCTTTATGTGTCAAATGCTATAAAACTTTAAAGTTTCTTGGGGAACTCTCACACAGCTCAAATTTGTGAAAACTACTGATTTCACAAACAAAACAAAAAAACCACAGAGACTGGAGGAACACAAAAATATAAGTGTGTCTAAAGACATCTCAGAAGACAACAAAATTACAGCAGCATGTTCATGGAAAAAATTAATAGAAGTTCTGCAGTTATGCATTTGAAAATTAACAACAGAATAAGATTTTCAGTAAATTTTTCAAATCATCTTATCATCCTCAAGAAAACAAGAGAAATCACTGAACGTTAAGAAACAAACTATATGTTTCTGTAAAGCAGAATAGCCATAAAATAAACTTTAAGAAGCACATAAAACAGTGGCACTGCTTGCCTCTTTCACTCTATGATGGATTTCAAATACTGAATCAGATGCACAAAGCATGATTTCAGTGATAAATGCCAGATGCAACAGAATAGTACCAGACCCACATACGTGCTTCCTCAAAAATATACATATTAAAAATAAGAGATTAGGTAAATAACGTTTGTAATAGCTTAACACTAAGATCTGAAATAATCCTATACAGACACATATACCCAGGTCTTGAACAATGCTACCACATTATACCACTTAAAATTCCATTATTAACTAGAAACTTGTTATTAAAAAACATAATTAGGTACTTTCCTATTAATTTACAAGTTCTTGTAAATAAACAAGGCTAATTTCATACTTCACTGGATGTTTAAGTGGTTGCTAACACACTGCTACAGGACAGTTCCTGCTTATACAAGCAGGAATATAATTAATATTAAACTATCAGCAACATTTCCCCTCCTGACATTAAAAAAAAAAATCCAACCATGTTAGTTCTTAGAGAATTACAAAGCTTAAACTATTTCAGAGAGAGCTGAGAGCAGTTTTTGAAGAACCATATGAGCCTCAGAAGTACATTAGACTTTAAATTATTTTGCTTACAGTGGTTTGAGAGCAGAAAAATCAGAGAAAAAACATGAAATATGGAGTACAAAGTCTACATACATATCAACTGTTACAATGTTAGTGTGTTTTTGTCTTTGCAACTCAGTCCAAATCCAGTTTAAATAGGAAATAATCAATCAACCCAATAACAAAACATAAAATGAAAAACTTAACATTCAGCAGTTATAGAAATTCAGACAGATTAAGATTGGGACAATGTATCAGCTAGAAATACATAATTGAGTATCCGTTAAACTAAAAAAAAAATCCGTCTTAAAAAAAGAGTCAGGAATTAACACTGATGAAATTACATTACTGTTCTGTTTGTACACATTAATTTTTCTGTTAATCCTTCTAAATATCAATCTTATTTTTTTTCTTGACTAATACAGGTTAGACATTTATCTTAAATCTCTTATATCTGTAGGCTTTCTACAAGCAAAGGAGAGGTGTTTCAAGGAAAATTGAGTTTATAGTAATTCTGTAGAATGGATTATCAATGTATATGAAGGCTTACTCAAGTGAAGGCACAAAATCTTGCAAGAATTTAATTTTAAATCATGAAGTGTACAAACAGAAGTGTAAATACCTGCTATGGTACATCTAGACCTTTTAATAGAGTTTTATTATTATAATAAATACATTTAGTAAGTTATTCCAATTTAACCCATCTCTATAAATGCAATACAGTACAAACTGAATTTCACTGTATACAAAAGTGTTCAAAGTGGACCTTTAAAATCCTTCTAAACTAGATGTGTAACACTTTAAAAAAAATAATGCCAGTACAGTATCACAGTTATGACTACAGGTACGCAATAAGAAGTATAGGTGCCATTCACAGATTGCAGGCACAGAGGCAACTTCATGTTATCTGGCAAAACACAGTAATATGGGGAGTAACTGTTGTCAGCACTGCTGATATTTATTAAATGACTTAGACTGTTAAATCCATTTATTAATATTAATCAATGTAAATAATGAAACAGAAAAATGTATGGCAACATACATCTTCGTGAAAATGAAACACAAACCAGGAGATAACTGCATTTCTTTTATGTGTGTGTGTATATATATATATATCAAATCAAAACTACAGTAAAGCCCTTCTTCATTAAGACAGCAACAAGACAAAATGTTTACAACTTAACTTTAAAAAAACCCCAAATGCTTTCATTTACATGCAGAATACTAAATTTATCCTTTAAGTCAAGTATTTAGGACCTATCTTCTCCTTTGCACATGGGAAACTTACCTACACAACCCCTCTGAAAGAAAAAAGAAGCCCCAGCACACAACAAAGCTGAAGGAAGTTCCATACATACATCCCAACTAAACTGAGACTAAAGCCAGGCTCATTTTAAAAAATTGTGTTTTGGAAATTATAAAATGCAACCTAATGCTATTTGAGATGTTTTCTTGGGGTGACAGGGTAGGGCATCTGTACTAGGTACAAAAACACTGTATCTACATGCACCACACTAAATACACAAAAAATAAACCTAGATTAATAAGGTATGCCAAAGGTAAAATAAAATTATCTTAAATTCCATGTTATTAACATTTTTTAGTATGGCTTCCTCATCTCCACCAGAAGGAAAACAATCTGGAAATGTGTCCATCACTCAGCTCAATGGTTACCTCCTATCAATAACAACTATTTGCAAATATCACAAACACTCATTTATCACAGAAGTTAAAAATCCAGTTCAACAAAATGAACTACATTTACTTTTGTTAAATCTGTGTTTTTATGTTCTGATATTTTACAATTAAGAACGACAGTTGCTATTTTTATGCAGTTGCAGAAATATTTCTACCAATCCATTTTTTATGACAAAAAGTGGCATTAACAGATATATACTGCCAACTTTATTTCAGCTGCCACATTTCACCTTTCTGTTTAAGCCTTTGACTCCCCTTCTCTAGGTCGATTACCACTTTGTGTGTCCCTGTTAGTATATGAACCCAAGACAACATCCCACTTAATACTCAATAGACCAGAGCATTTAGTATCAGAATTTGTTTTCTCCCAAAGCAGCCAGTGACACAAAAGTCTGACTGAAAAACTGACATTTAACCAATACAAAATTTATTTTCACTTAGGAGTATACTACGTTTTATATGATTTCTAAAAAAGTTTTGCTCTATATAACTTCTGTAAGTGAACTTCCATGAATAAATATGATGTGTAAATCCAGAAACTAAATCTGATGGTAAATTTAAGAAATGGAAGTTGGGCAGACAGGCAAGTCTGCAAGCTTCACTTTTAGTGTAGATGTAGTGGAGAATTCTTCTAAAGAAAGCAAAGACTACTGCAGAGAAACTAATAGGTAGGGCTTTCTCCAATTGGCAAATGTAAGGAATCATGGGTACATTGAATTCCCAATCCTCAAAATGGTACATTATATAATGTGCTGAACATTTCTATGTATTTTAAAGCTCTCAGCAGTACACTGAAAAAAGTATTATTTAGCATGCTACTCTGTAGCTATCTAGACATTTGATGCACATAAGACTGCAGACATATGAAATAAAAGAACAAATTACTTTGTGATCAACCAGAAAAGAAATAATCCTTGTGTCATGCATTTCTTTACTAGTCTTCAGAAAATGACTTTTATCAGAGGGGAGAGGGAATGAAAGATCAGGGTGCTGGGGAACAACTGATGATAAATCTTATTGAAGATAACACCTGAATTTAGCTAGAAAGCAGAAGATACTGACAGGTCACATTTCATAAAATAAAGAGCAAAGTCTGGCTATATTTCCTGAATTTAAGTAAAACTCACTAGGGAAAAAAAACAAACCAAAAAACCACAACAATGCCGTACTTGTGCACAAACAGCAACTGTATGTACATGCGTTCCCTAAATTGAAATAATCACATAAGACATATGAAGGGCTCAATGCTGCAGTCCTTACACAAGCAGACTTTAAAATACAAAATTAGTATTTTAAAATACAAATAAGAAACACAACCATAAATTTAATATAATCCTATAAGATTACAAAGAGAGCCGTCTTATCAGTCTGGCTTACGGCTTTTTAACAACTGGTTTACTTGCATTTCATAAAAACTGCAAACCTAAATACCACCTAAAATTAAAAAGGCTGCATGCAAACTGCAGAGGATAATCACACAAATCCTCCCTCCCTCCCAAGACCAGTTACCTGTCGTTACTTACCTATGTTCATGTCATATGCTGCAAGAAGAAAGCCATTCAGTACATACTGCAGGACCATTTAAATACAGATATTAATAATGTAAATAATCCCAAACCTAGAGCAGTTACTTTTAGTAAGTCATTAAAGTTCAAGAACATTAAACAAATGCTCACCTTCTTTTAACGATGACGATATTCTCTCTCTCTGTCTCGTTCTCTGTCACGATCTCTGTCACGATCACGATGCCTCTCTCTTTCACGGCTTCTTTCCCGATAATAGTCATCGTGACGATCTCTACTACGAGATTTGTGGCGTCTACTTTTTTCTCGTGACCTACTGTGGTCCCTCTCTCTGGATCGCTCACGTCTTCTGAAAGAAATTACTTCATTAATTTTTTCTTCAAAGTAAAAACCATCTGCATGCCAATTTTGTATTCTGCTTATAAGTATGAATTTAATCAAAAAAGGATATGAGAGAAATATCTGTTCACTGTGACACAGGTATGGTTTTGCATATAACATGAAAGATAGCTGGTATAAAAGAGGGTGGCTAAGAACTCAGTTACAGATAATAAGGTGCATCCACTCCCTAATGTATCATGGAAAAAGAAAGTACATCATTAGAATGGAGATATGGAGATACGATGGCTGAAATCAGACGGAGGAATGCACCATATCTCTAACGATCACTACAACATGGCTGCTAATCTGCATACTGCAACTATGTGCCAAAACCAGATGTCTTTGTGTTTCTAATATTCAAGGCCAACTATACTACTGCTAAGGTATCCAAATGAACTACAGGCTCAGTGTTCGTCCTAACTCTCAAAGTGTCATTTAAGTTTTGAAAGAAATATCAATCTCTTATTTGTATTAGGGAGAGGAGTCCATGAATTTCAAATCTACCTAGTCTTGATTTTTAGGTTGTATGACAAAGGACAATAGGCAAAATCTTTCTGCCCAATTTTTTTTTCCCCCGCCTCAAGTGTATTTCTACTGTGACAAGTATGGAGAAAATTACTTTTAAGCAAAATTAAAATTGGCAAACATCCTCATTCTTAATTTTCAATAGAAAATCCCAATAAAAAATATGCAGGGAACATCTTAATTGATAAAAGATAATTCTGTTTTGAAGTCTATACATTGCAAGAGTACCATGTAGCAAAGGATACTAAATAAAACTGAGACTTAAACCTAAGCTAGTCAGATCAGTTTTGAAAGAAGGGTTTATTAACAGACAGCTAAGTTCCAGAAACCCCTATTTGGTTCTTTCACACATTTCTTGTGAAACTTGGCAAATCACTAAGCTTCTTACATGACTTAGTTTCTTCTCTGTGAACTAGTCCTGTGCTACACCTTCCCTTTTATAAGTAAGGGCAGATGGAAGAGGAAAGTTTTACCTGGATCCAGAACCATAAGACTTGGACTCAATTCCATGAAGGCAGTCCTGAAGAGAGCTAATAAGTACTTTACAGCGATCATCTGCAGATACTTTGGACTGTTTTATTAAGGAAATTGCAGTTACCAAGGTCTCTATAGCACTTCCATAGTCCCCTGAAAATGATGTGAGATCATGATCAGAAAATTATGCAAATTAAACCAAAGATTTTTATCTATAATAGTATTACCCTTTCGAGTACCTTCTCTTCAACAGCCATCCAGACCATTTACCATAGAACCAAATATTAAAAAATACTGCCCACATCTGTACTCAAAAGGCATTCTCAGAAACTAATTGGAACACAGTACATAATCAGTCATAGCTTGTACCTAAATTCAGCCTGCTATTACAAAAATGTGGCTTCAGGGCTGCAAGTTTCCTAATAGAAAAACTATAAACTCTTTTCAGTTTGGTAGAATAGCAAACACATTAATCCAAGTTTTACTAACCAGCACTGGCATCTGATACAGCTCTCGAAATGGCACTGCTTGAGATCGCCCGATTTCTATTCATGATTTCTTCAAATTCTGCTTCACTTAGAGGTGTCCTTGCAGCATCCATCTCTCTGCAAGCAATAAAACTAGTATTTAAATTGTTAAGAAAAACATAAGACGACATCATTGCAGTTTTAACAATCCAAGTTTGCAACTTTAAGCAAAGTGACAAACAGAAAAGAAAGCAGGATCTGGGTTTGGTTTTGGTTTTTGTTAAGGACCATGTTACAGTATAAAATCCTGAAAGCTAAAAAAAAAAAAAAAGAAAAAAAGTAAAAAACAATTAAGACATTGCTGTATAAATAGACTTTTGTTCATCCCATCTGAAGATTCAGCAGCACTTAATATTGTGCTTTACAAATATTTATAATTTTCATAAAAATCCTTGAAGGTATGCAAGTAGATATTCCAAATGAATGGATGTGGAAATACATGTACATAGGCAATGCGACTTCAAGCAAAATGTTTATAACAGTACTGGAAGTAGAACTATATGATCCTGTTTCCCAGATCTTAACTAAGACCAGAATGCTATAACTTATGAAAAGCAAATATAGTCTGTCATTTTTAAAACACTCAATTTTCTGAATGATATTTCAACATTTCACAGCTAATTTTGTTTTTTTGTTTCTGGTCAAGTTCAAGGTGCTCCAATTTGATCTTCAAACCAGTCACAATAAGGAGGAAACAATAAAGCAGAATCCTCATACTCATTGCATTTTTTTACTTTAATTATTAGCTACCTATATAGGGTTTCCAAAGTAACAGAACCTAACCTATACTAAAATTTTCCCACAAGTTTCGCAGTGTCTAATTAGCCAGTTTCTGTATCATATAGAAAATTTGGAGAAATGTGTTAGAGACAAATGTTGAGACTGTTAAACTGGCCCACTGCTTGATATTTCTAAAACAGTGTTAGTTCTTCTGGTAGAAAGAAAATGCAGAATAATAAGCAATGCTATCCTCTTAATTGCAAGAAGTGGAACAAGATCCTATAGCCAGTTTAGCATAAGAGGAAATGTCTAAAAATTCATACCTCCCTGAGTTTTGAGTATTATTTTTCGTGTGCCTCCCATAGAATGGAATATGTAATTTTTCTCTTATGGACATGTTATTTCCAGTGAAACGCCTATGATATATAATTAATGACAATTTAAATAGTTATGGATTATAGTTTTAACATTATTACTGAAAATACTGGACAGCAAGTTATACTGTCCTATTCCCACTCCTTCCCTCCCCAGACATTCTACAAACTGCACACAACCTCGACTTTGTCCATCAAAAAACAACCAACAACCTTATCCTTTTATTATTTCAGGCAATTAAGCCAAATGCTTGCATTTCTATAGTTTCTGTATGAACACAGTATGTACAGATGTGTAGGGGTGATTAAATTTGTCAGAAGACCCAAAGCAGAAAACATTTTAAGCAAGAAATCTCTCTCATGCTAGCAGTAAAATCACAATGGGAAAATCCAAACGTAACTATGTAGAAAGTGTCTTTCTTACGATTTATCCCAAAATTTTCTGTGACAAATACAAATATGGTGAAAAATCAAGACAGAGCAGCAAGACAGAGATGCTTGAAAGCACAGATGAAAAAGATGTTTCAAACAAGATGTGAAAAACCTGACAAGTCAGAGAGACTCAAGAACTCTGTCCCAGAGAGGATTAACCATAGGAAAAGCCACTGCTACAAACACACCAAGACTGAACCGCATGAGCAGAAGCATCTTGATAGGAAAGGAAGATAAAAGTCTTGTTGTAAATTCACACCTGGCTATTGAGACAAAGACTAACTTCTAACTAAACCCTGTAGAAAAGAAGGGACAAGCAGAGCTGCTGAAAGATGAAAATGGTATGAGCTTGGTATGGCACTGTACTCAGCATATGGATATATTCAAAAAGGACAACTCGAGAGCATTCTAAAAAGAGAGCTTGCAAAGCATGATAAAAAAGGTACAAGTCAGAATTTTAAGTTAAGACAGAAGCACAACTAGAAGCTGCTTCATAAGAAGTGATAGATGAGTTGACATGTAGAACACATGGAATGATGACACTGCCAAACACAAACAGTGAAGACAAACAGTTCATAGCTGAAAAGGGAAAGTGAGATTGCTGGTGCTGCAGTTCAGGATTTTCTTACTGCTACAAACATATTTCTCAGAGATATTTCACTGAGAGAAGTGAAAAAGGGCAAATTAGTAGACTGCTGGGATCCCTTCTAGCCCTATTTTTCATTATTTCTAACATTTGCATTAAAAGGGAAAATCAGATGCTTCCTACAAGAGGAGTAAAATCTGCCACTAAGCATACAACATGAAAAGCACTCACCTTCCAGGTGGCCCATAGTCACCTCTGTCATATGGTGGAGGTCGGCCATATGGATCTGTCGGAGGTGGGCCACGGCTGTCTGAAGTAGGTATGCCGCTATTGGCAGGTGGGGGGAAGAAAGCTGGATTCACATGTGGTGCAGGTGGTGGAGCACCTGGAGGTGGCCCAGGGAGATGTGGAGGAGGAGCAAGAGTCAGGGGTGGCCCAAGAGGGCCAGGTGGACGAGGGGGAAATGGACCTGGAGGTGGAGGTGGACCCTGCTGAGGTGGTGGTGGACCTGGTGGTGGCCCATAACCTGGAACTGGTGGTGGAGGGCCTGGAGGAAGTGGCCCAAGTGGAGGCTGACCAAAAGGCTGTCCTGGAAACAGAACTGGTGGTGGTGGACGGTCACCACGATTGGGAGGTCCAGCTAATGGAGGTGGGAGGACCTGACCAGGAGGTGGAGGGCCTGGTGGGCCTGGTGGGCCAGGAGGACCTAAAGGTGGACGCGGGGGAGTTTGTCCAGCTAAAATAAAAACAAAATAAATACAAAAAAAGAGCTAGTAAATATAAATAAATAAAAGACAGGAAAATAATTAAAATTCTTGCCTTTTTTAATTCTTAAAAACAACAAAAACCCCAAAACAACCCTCACTGAACAATTTGCAACTTACATAAGACATGTATTGTCCCACTTTGGGTCCAGTAGCTTAGAAATTTTTTAACAGTTCCTTGACTACCAATATCTAAAGAGAACAACATTAATGTGAAAACTAACAACTTGTCCCCCCAATCACTTAATCACCTGCTATTGTTACCAAAACCCCCAAAAGCTTACAAAAACTGGAAAACATTACATCCTACTTGCATCTGAAGCTAGTCTTTCATATGGGGCATAAGATACAATATATATTAAAAATATGGGAAAAGCTATATTGGAGAAGGTAAGGTAAATGCAATATCCAAACCTACTTTCTGGTAGTAATTAGTACTTTTCAATTTAACTATGTCCCTTTGACTGTTAGTAGACAATCTACTTGCTAACATCTATTACAAATACTTAAGCTGAAATAAGAACTTCACTGCAATGTGAGCCTGATTGTTAAACAGAGATTTCTCCCATATCAGATACCTGACTAAACATGAACACCTCCTCTTCAAATTTGTTGTATTTTAAGTGCCAACTAACTGACCTGTCATGGGCATGAATCAAAGCTGCATTTCTGATGATATGCAAAGTTGTAATACAGTAAGAAAAAGAGTTACTTTACGCTCTGCAACATGGGTTTTCTCAGCCCATACAGCAAATCAGAAAATCTGAACCACACCACACTAAAAGACAAGTCTACTTGCTAACATTATCTTAAGTTTCTTATATTTTAAAAATATGTACATTGACGTATTATAACGAATGCCTCTAGAAATGTTATTATACTGCTATCAAATTTAGGAAGTACAGCTCTTTGTTTGAATATCAACAAGGAAACATTGTCAAATCCTACAATCCAGCTGAGAACACTGATTATAGCACATTACTGAATCGGCTTGATCTTTATCATTTCCCAAGTAAGCATGCTGCATTAATACATGAAAACACAAATGAAACTGAAACTCCACGTATAAATTATTTTACCTGGGAAAGGTGGTGGTGGCCCTCCTGGCCCTGCTGGTCCAGGGAATCTGTCTCCACCTGGAATGGCACCTGGAAAACGGCCTCGCCCTCTATTACTAGGTGGAAATGCTGCTCGTGAGCTTCCTCCTGGGGGACCAGCTTTACCTTCCCCAGACATCTGTCCAGACTGTGTGGCTGCAATGAAAAAGCAAAAGTGTAATTACATAAATCAAAATAGGTTAAAGCTTTTTGACACTTGATCTAAACTTTTATGCAGTGCTAAAGCATGACTTTATGAGCACCAACTTGTTCCTAGGTACCCCAACCCAAAGCATTTCAGGAGGAAAAAGCACTTTGCTAAAATACAGCAGCATTCCAGTATGCCCCATACTGATGGAATAGCATCTGGGGAGACAGACAGTCCTTTCGTTAATGCAGCCCAAGGCCACAAACTATTAGGACTGGGAACCACAAGACAAGGTGCTGGAGGAAAGCACAGTACAGAATCTCTCTTCCTCATTCCGTCATAAACGCAGCCTATCCAGACATCAGATTTTAGTCCAGTTTGTCTAAAATGTTAAACTTCTAAACGCTCGTGTCTTTTAAAAAATTACATCCACAAGAAATTGAGAAAGCTTCTCCAACTGTAAGACAAGAGTTTCACAAAGCCGCAACCTTCTTTCAGTGAGTGCTATCTCTGTTAAACTTTTTAAAAGACACGAGCATTTAGAAATTACATCCACAAGAAATTGAGAAAGCTTCTCCAACTGTAAGACAAGAGTTTCACAAAGCCGCAACCTTCTTTCAGTGAGTGCTATCTCTTGCCAAAACAGCAGCCCTTCAGTGCATTAAGTGATTTTTTTTTTAGATTTTTATTTAAGAGGACCACCTTTAAACAAACATGCAACTTCATTCACCTGGACTTTAAGTATTTTACAGCTATTTTAAACCATGCAGAAATTATCAGATGCTGAGAGAAAAACTGCCATACTGCTTTTGGAATAAACCTCTGTTTTTCCAAGACAGCACATAAGAAAGGCTTACTTTTCCTTGACTGCATTTCAAACTGACTGAGAAATTGTTTATTACATGGAGTTACAACAGGATTCTGCCCATGTAATTCTCTTTTAGGCAACAAATCCATCAACTTTTTGGAGGATGCTTCTGATCCCACACCCACAAGGGCAAACCTGAAAGGAAGAAAAAGAAAGTTACACCACAGTTTTTCTATTTCCTGGATATCCTGATGCCTCCTGAGGTTACCCATAGTAAGCAAAAGAATACTTGAAACCTAGATGCAGCAACTGTCTCACAGGTCTTTAGTCCAGTTATCAGAACAAATAAAATAATTCATTCTAGGACATAAGAACAACCAGAAGTGCAAGTACAAGAGGCATCAAAATATATCACAACAAAGGCAGCTTTTTGGTAAAGTATCAATACACTATATATGAATTCACATGACTAAGTTATTATTAAGCATTCACTGTGTTCTCATTACTACCAAGAGAGGAAGGCACATTCATGCAAAGATTAGGTTGTCAGTGAAAAAACGGGCTCAAGTGCTCACTTTCAACAGTTAATAGAAAAATAGACATGTAAAGAAAGAGGCAATAATGGAGGTGGGGAAACAGTATTTACACTATGAGGAACAGTAAGTATCACCACCACTCCAACTGAAATCTAGGAATAATCTTAATGAAGATGGACAACAAGATTTAACTCCCAAAATAACGAGACACACAATAACGTCATAAAAATTTACACTTGAAATTTAAGTCATTAATATAAAATTATATACCCAATCATTGTTGGACATAAATAAATATTATTAGTTCACATACTGACAGTTATGAACATTGAAAAAAAATGCCCTCCCAGAATTCAGTCCATTTACAGAAAAAACAAATTACAAGTTCTTACCCTTTAGACTGGCCATTAGCACGATTTTCAAAAAATTTTATCTCCAAAATATCATTTACCCCCAGTGAATGAACTGCTTCAGTCAAGTCTTCATCTGTTGTCCACTGAAAAATATTTTTAATATTCAACTATGAAAGCTTATCTAAAACACCAGGAAAACAGCACCTAAGGCCTCCATGGATTTTTTTGTGTGTGTGAAATGGGTCAAGAAGAATGCTTTATTCAAGCTGTCAATATATTCTGACTTTTGGAGACCAGTCAATGACATTTTACAACCCACAGAAAATTACTAGTAAAAGATATACACTTCCCCTTATATTAGATTGCATCAACCCCTGCACACAGTATACCAGCAACAGTATGAAAAAAAAAAAAATTGCATTAGAGTAACTTTTGTCTTCTGAGATTACAAGGGTTAAACTGCACTATTTCAATAACTTACTTTTTTCACACCAAATCCATTTTTTCCACCCACTGATTCAATTATTTACACACAAAAGCCAATTTCAAACACCATATTAACCAGGTGCTCTTTATGAGAGCTTTGACTAGTGACTGTTTAGTGAACTACATATTATTTGCACAAAAATAGCAGGATTTACAGACAAAAGAAGGAAAACTAGTACAGAAACTATAGTTAGTAACAACTGCTTCCACTTAACCAAACCTACTTGCTGTAACTTTCTATTAACTACTATGTAACACTTAATTTCACTCATATCCAAAGATACACAAATACTCTAATACTTATGGTTTTCTTCCTACTTCTGTAACTCCATCCCTTCTTTACATTTCATATGGGAAGTGCAAAGCAGGCTTTCAAGATTCTGAACTACTCATCTGATCTTCCCTCAAATTAAGGCTTCTTTTAAAAAATTCAACAAATTATTTTGCTGAGAGTTAAACGCAACGAAAACAAATACAACAGCAATGTTACAATAGATAAATGCATTTTTTTTGTAACTGAATTTGTGAAGCCAAATAATTAGTAACAAGTACAAATTGCTGAACATTGGCCTACCTGCTTTAGAAATTGTGACATTTGACTTGGATGAGTTCAGCTAATTCATCTGCTTTTTACCGATTCATTCATATGCTTTAGAATAGTACAACTGTGAAGTCAACGGCTGCTTAACTTACCTATTAGCTCCTGAAATTAGGACACTGTAATAATTATATGAAAAAACAACTAAGCACCCACAAAGCATTCTTTGTTTAAGATTAGCACTAGTAAGGAATTAATCAGAGGGGAAAAAACCTTGAATGAGCATTTTGCATGTGCAGACCTAGAAGAACTGGATTTCACGAAAACAGATAAAAACTCCAGCTAATTCAGCTACTGGGCAGCTCTTGCACTTTGTTTGCTTAACTGCAATTGATTTTAAAATGTTTTAATGCTAACAAAAGTAATTGTCTTAAGGGCAACTGCAGTTCAGTGAGTTATTCCAAACCTGTTACTCTGAGGACTGCAGAAATAAGCCTCAAGGCAAATACCTGAAAACAGTTTTGTTGCAGGAGTCACTGCCCTACAAAAAGGAAGGCAGAAAAACGCCCTGGAAAAATGTGAAAAATAATTTCAAGAAAATCCCAGAAAACCTTCCAGTTCCTTTTTAAACTAAAAACTTCATAAAGCCTTTACTAAAAATGGGTTCAGTAGTTTAAAAGTATCTACAGGAAAAAGTATTTCATAGTTTAAGCTTGTTCTCTTTCACACAGTTCTCTGAAGACCTTAAGAAGATAGTAGCACAAATACCTTTTCATAATACTTAAAACATGAAGGACCACTCGCTGGATAAGGAATTGCCTAGACGGCTGCACTCAAAGGGTGGTGGTCAATGGCTCAATGTCCAAGTGGAGACCAGTGACAAGTGGTGTTCCGCAGGGGTCGGTACTGGGACCAGTGTTGTTTAACATCTTTGTCAGAGACACGGACAGTGGGATTGAGTGCACCCTCAGCAAGTTTGCTGATGACACCAAGCTGTGTGGTGCGGTGGACACGCTGGAGGGAAGGGATGCCATCCAGAGGGACCTGAACAGGCTTGAGAGGCGGGCCTGTGCAAACCTCATGAAATTTAACAAGGCCAAGTGCAAGGTCCTGCACATAGGTCAAGGCAATCCCAGGCACAAATACAGGCTGGGCGGAGAGTGGATAGTGAGCAGCTCTGAGGAGAAGGACTTGGGGGTATTGGTGGATGAGAAGCTGAATATGAGCCGGCACTTGCAGCCCAGAAAGCCAATCGTGTCCTGGGCTGCATCAAAAGAAGCATTAGCAGCAGGTCGAAGGAGGTGATTCTCCCCCTCTACTGTGCTCTTGTGAGACCCCACCTGGAGTACTGTGTTCAGATGTGGGGCCCCCAACATAAAAAAGACATGGACCTCTTGGAGAGAGTCCAGAGGAGAGCCACGCAATTAATCAGAGGGCTGGAGCACCTCCCCTTTGAGGACAGGGTGAAAGAGTTGGGG